TTATTTTATTTTTTTCTTTATATTTTTACCTCTTTTTCAAATTACTTTTGTAATTTAGATCTTTGAACACACAATATTTGTAGATATTGATACACATTTTAGAAATCTTTACTAATATTTATAATTCAATCTCTTTACTTAAGTTTAATCATCCCTCTTCCAATATCATATGTTTATAATGATTCTCAGTGAAAATCATTATTCAGAATCGCTGTAACAGTATTTGATTTTTATTATTTTAAATTTTTGTTATTTTTGAATTTGATATTTTGATAAAAAGAACAAAATGAAAAAATCTTTGTTATTATTATTATATTCGCTCTTAAAAGCTTGATATAAATACAGCAAATTAGCATCTTAAATTCTCTTTATCATTTATTTTCTTATTATTTTATATTATTTCTTTTCTTTTTTGACCTTTATTTTTTTATAACTTTTTTTACCTTATTATTATAGCTTTGAATTATTATAATTTTTTATAGAAATTAGTATGAAACTTAGATATCTCTTTTTCTTTTAATATTTTGTTTATTGTTTAATCTTTTCTTCAAATCCAATTCCAAGTTTGTAAGCTAATTAACAATTAGTATATTTAATAAATTTGCTCAATATTATTATCATTCTGGAAAAGATTTGCTAGAATTACTTATAATAATCAAAGTTTCAAATTTTCTAGTTGTAACAGTTAGTTAATGCAATCAGATTTTTGGCAATCTCTGAATATTTCCCAGCTGGCTTTGTTTTAAGGAACTCAAATTATTATAGAACCTCTCATTCCTATAGATCACAAACTTAATCTGACTCTTTAAGTGATAAGAGATCTTAGAAATATTAAATTATGCGATTTAAAGAATCACTGCACTGATATATTCATTTGTAACTGAATTTTTAGTTATTTCATATTATAACTGTGCTTTAGAGCAGACTGAATCTATTTTTGCAAAATTTGAAAACAAAAAAACTTATCTTGATCGTCTTAATCGACCAATCAAATCGTAATATTATGTGTAATTCAAAACAAACAAACTTGAATCATGTGATGCAAATCAAATGTGGCGTTTCTGTGGCTAATCCAGCTAAACGGCTTGCCTTGCTTTAAGGAACCCCCAAAATCGGCAATTCAATACGTATACCGATACATGTAATTTAGTCGTTCGGTCCAAAGTAGTGTAGCAGCCCATGTGAAAGGAAATAATGTACGTAGTGAAATAGTACATGTACAACAAGTGGCAAAAATAACATCAATACCTGCTAAAAAAAACATTTTTTTAGATGCGACCAATATAATTACAGACAAGCGAAAACTAAAATATTGAACATTAATTAAAACATGAATAATTTATAAAATCCTACATAGAATGGAGTTAAAAATCAAATACACCCAGAAAAAAATTACATATTCAAGCCATTAAACCGAACCCGTTAAACCGAAAATCCCGGATAAATCGAAGTTTGTTCCAGAAACACACGTAATCAACGTAGTCAATACGTAAATTGTTGATAAAATCAAATAAATTAAATTTATTGGTGTAGTTGTTATGATTGTTGTCGATTTCATAGAGGTTGATGGTGTTGTTGCTTTACTTTTGTTGTTGTTACTGTTGTCGGTTTCGATTTCATAGAAATTGATGATATTATCATAGAGGTATGATAATTGTTGTGATTGTAGTTATTCTTGTTGTTGAGAATTCTGTTGATACATGTATTCGTTATTGTAATTAGCACTATTGGTATTAATGTTGCTGTTGTTGTAATTAATTTGACTTTGATTTTGATTGCCGTTATAATCAGGGCTGAAAAATATATTCGTTTTGCCCGTTAAAATAGATTCAGGTGTGTCTGTACTTGGTGACTTCCAACAACATTCTACAAGTTTAGAAATAATAAGATTTTTCATATCAATAATAATATCTTTGAGAGCTGAGGTTTCTTCCGTTACTTTAATTATTTTTTCTTTGGAAGCTGACAGTTCTGATTTTAATTTTTCATTTTCTGATTTTAAATTTTTAGTTTCTTCTATCATTGCCTCGAATTCAGTCTTTTTGCGGGCTCTTTGGAACCTGGCTGAAATATGTATATAATAAATATTAGAATTATATCGAATAAATTATAAGCTGAATTGAATATAATGCAACATACATGCTTCGGCAGCCTTTGAGTTAGATTGTGGCATTCTTTTCTGTTGATACATGTATTCGTTATTGTAATTAGCACTATTGGTATTAATGTTGCTGTTGTTGTAATTGATTTGACTTTGATTTTGATTTTGATTTTGATTGTTGTTACCATCAGGGCTGTTGTTGAGAAATATATTCGTTTTGCCCGTTAAAATAGAGTCAGGTGTGTCTGTGCCTGGTGACTTCAAAAAATATTCTACAAGTTTAGAAATAGTAAGTTTTCTCATATCAATAATAATATCTTTGAGATCTGAGGCTTCTTCCGTTCTTTTAATTATTTTTTCTTTGGAAGCTGACAATTCTGATTTTAATTGTTCATGTTCTGATTTTAAATTTTTAATTTCTTCTATCATTGCCTCGAATTCAGTCTTTTTGCGGGCTCTTTGGAACCTGGCTGAAATATGTATATAAGAAATATTAGAATTATATCGAATAAATTATAAGCTGAGTTGAATATAATTCAACATACATGTTTCGGCAGCCTTTGAGTTAGATGGTGGCATTCTTTTTTATGGTTATTTAATGATATTTTTTTAAACGAAAATAATTTTAATAAAAAATAGATAAGAAGTACGCAATAAAATCTTTTATCTCAATAATTTTCGTTGAAAATCGATTTGTTTTCGATAAAATGTGGAGTGTATGCGTTGTAATGTAGGTTACAACGTGACAATGCATGGATCGGGCTATTTTGTCCATTATATTTAGTCACAATTTTGATTGGATAACAAGTGATAGTATTAATGATTTTTATTCAAGTCAAAAAGGTTTACAAATAACAAGAATTAATAAATTTGACTTCTAGAATATAAGATGAGAAATAAATGCAATTTTTCTTAAGAAGAAAGTATTAGTAGAAGTAAGTACAGAGAAGTAATAGAAAATAATATAATTTGTCAAAGATTTAAAACACTTGAAAATGAATATTTCCATACGGAAGAAGAAAAAGAATGGTCAAATTTAATATGGTGTATAACATCTAAAGTCATCAAACGTTTGTATTTTATAAAATGTATAAACTTTTCAACTAAGTAAATACAAAGTAGATAACTTCAATATTTATAAGAAACTCGCATAATACTATTTTTACATGACATTGGTTCTCGTTGAATGAATGCTTGTCAAATGTACGTAGTTACCCATTTTTTGGTTAAATGTAATTACGCGCATGTAATACATGTACATGTAATAATAACGATAATACGTAATAAGCGCAGAAATTTTTTCATTCAATACTTTCCTTTTTTAGACTTCATTGTTGATTTTCTTTATATGGTCAAGATAATTACATGTACCGGTATGCGTTTGGATACGTAGTCCATTCGCTATTGTGTTTATATCTATATCAGTTATTTACATAGCTGCAGAGTAGTCTCATTCTATGTGTACTGTTACCGTAGTAACAATAAATCCCTTAATTCCGCAATAATGCTCAACTAATTTCTACATGAAAATCTTAC